GAGTGCATGGAGAGGGAGCTCTGAGAGCACCGGGAGATGCGAGACCACGATTACCCTATGAGATGAATGCCAAACGCATTATTCATGTGTAGTGTCTGTGCTGTACATCCAGTGCCTCTCATTTGTCGCATTCGTATCGCGTTTTTTATGTGCATTATATTTGAAAATAGATTTCTATTCTCTCTTTTTTATTATCATTTCGTATCACTTGTAATAAAAACAGCGATTTTCTCGCATATTTCAGTCGACAGTTGAAACAAGAGTTTGTGATTNACTGACTGCCCTTCGGATTAAGAAGTCGTTGCAGAAGATCTCCGGCAAAGAGCTGATCCGCGTGTCCGCCAAAGAGGCCGAAGTCTAACGCCATTTACACCGCAATAATCAATTGTACAGTCGTTTTGCTGCCAATTCTCGCTCTCATTATACACTAGTTTCTCATTTGATATTTAAAAAATCATTAGATTTTAAGCTCAAGTGTTAGCACAATATATGTGAGGCTTTTCTCATCCGGATATCTATTTTGTCTTATTATGTATTCATTAACTCATTTGATATTAATTTGTATTCAATTTTATGGAAATTATACCGTAATATGATATTATTGTCTATTAATATTATAAGTATACTTAAAAACCAAGTTTTCAATAAATTATTTACAGACTAAGATAAGTTTGTCTAATTATATTTTGCTTTGATATACTAATGAAATGAAATAAATAAATATTTATTTAAAAACAATTATAATTGTTTGTTTTCATATTTAAATTACAAGTACGGTATAGTTTGAATTGAATTTGTGGTTTATAATTCACTATAGCAGTACTGGTAAAACATAACATTAAATACTGTACAGTATTAAACGGTAATTCAAGGAATATTTGGTTTACATTATTTTATAGTACTGTACAAATATTGTATTAAATATACCATGATACTCTTAATAACTAAGCTATTGGTTTTAAAAAATTATATTTAATTGAATTTCATAAATTCTTATTCAAATTCTTATATGAGATTCAATGATATTGTTTGAAAGAATCGACAACTCTTTGACAAAATTCCAATACTCAGTGCAATAATGCATTGTTTTTAACACTAAATTTACATTTCAGATCGAAATCACAAACTCTTGTTTCAACTGTCGACTGAAATATGCGAGAAAATCGCTGTTTTTATTACAAGTGATACGAAATGATAATAAAAAAGAGAGAATAGAAATCTATTTTCAAATATAATGCACATAATGTCTGTTTACTCTCCGTGACCTACATGTCGTGTCTGTGATGTGTACTTATTACGCAAACCGTAAGTAGAGTATCCCATTAGCACCAGAGCGTAGAGGGCCACGAGAGTCTCGAGGGAGAGGTACGTGAGCATACCCACTCTCCAGAAAACTTCAAACTTCTTACGACAGAATAAGTTACACACAAAAAGTGTATTCAAATCGTGAGTACACTTTCCCTATGACTTAGGCGTCGAGTCGATTGCATAATATTTTTGGTGAGGAATACAGTGTCTGTTGTTGTGCTCCTCATCCAGAAGACGTCAATCCCTTCCCACGACTCGCACCACACGAAAGGAGTAGTGAAGGGAACGGGAGGAGAGAGAGTCAACAAAACTCTGTAAACCATAAGTAATGATGTTTTGAATTACAGAATATTCTAATTAATTAATTCTAATTCTTGTATTAATTTACATATATTGTGAAGTAATGCCGCCTTTCCGTAAGCCTACGTTAGTAACGCTTAGAAGGCCTGATGTGAACCAGCCCTGGGGGTTCAGACTGGCCGGTGGTGTCAATCAGGGACAACCATTTCACGTACAGAAAGTAAGCTAATCTATCTGTTTAATAATAATTGCATATATTTTGAATGAATTGCTAATTTAACCAGAAAGTTTTGATGATTTTAAAAATTAAGAATATATTAGATTTTTATCAAAGAATTGTCTTTTATATCTATATTTAGAAAATGTATGCCTTAACAGAATTATAGCACAGAATATATTTCAAACAGAATTATTTTTTTCAAAAATATTTTATTTATGAATTAGTAAAATGTGCAAATATTTCCATAATTTAATCGGTTTTTAATTAGTATTTGTTTTTGTTTAAATGTTTGCTAATGAGAGTCTATTTAATATAAATACTAATGATTGCGAATGCAAATTATTTATTCAACATTTAGTCTATTATTATGTGTTTTAAAAACTGAAAAACAGAGCGAAAGAAAGTGAGAATCAGTTAGTTTTGTGTAAAAAATCTATTTTTAGTTACAAATAGGCTGTCATTCGTGTCGTAAAGGCATTCATAGCAATCATCACTGAATGTATATATCATTGAAAACTTATATCAATTCTCGAGACATTTCCTTCGGATACAGATTTTATTGGTTTTTTACCCCACATTTAGGTCATACCCGACAGCATCGCACACAGGCATGGCCTCCAAGAAGGCGACCTTCTCGTGAGGATCGGCAACATTACCCTTAAAGGGCTGACCCATGAAGAGGTTCAGGAGATTATATTGCGATGCATTAGTACTATTGATCTCTTTGTGATCAGGTATTTAATCCACAAAATATTACCATTCATACAATTGTTGGTTAAAACACTATTTTATGTTATAATAGTAATAAATGATAGAAAAACCCCCTAATTATGGGCACAGGAAGGGTCGACTCGACAGTACACTGCAATCGTAGCTAAGATTTAGATCTATTTGTATTTAACCAGAATATTCTTACGCATTCATATGTGCCTATGTTTTAAAACAATACAAATTTATTTACGAATAAATTGTATTCACTTTTAATCCCAAATAAATGACAGAAACTTTATGTGTGTTTTGTGTTTTAAAAATTTACAGAATATTCTTACAATTTCTTGACATTTAAATGTTAAATAACTAGATATTAGTTGTTATCCTTATGATTATTGAAAATTCAGTAAAAATTAATCGCTTTTAATCGCGAAACAAGAATAATATAATGATTGATTGGATTGTAAGCAATGGGTAATTGTGCCAAATGTCTGAACAGTTTGCATAAACATGGCTTTTGAGTGGGAAAGGGAGTGTGAGAAATGTCTTTGAATTTTTATAGATATCCCAAAATTTATTTGACTTTAAAAACGTGTGTTTACACTACGAATATTATTATTTCTAGTATTAGTATTAATATATTTATATTACTTTAGAGCTCATTTTTGCAAATATCACAACATGTTTATTACCAGAATATTCTCTTATATAGAATAAACATTTAAATTAATTATTAAATCTCTTTGAAGGGCTTAAGTGTTATTTATGACTAACATTTTTTTATTAGACATTGTCTGGAGAATATTCTGGATAATTTTACACCTAATAAGTTGATTAGACATTTAATCCTGTGTAGGGTTATATTTAAAACCTAAATTCTTGGGTGTATTTGATATGCGATCGCATATACGGTTCAAAAACATTTTCACTTTTAAGACATTACATGATATTAAACGTGAAATCGATGTTTAAGTTTTTCGCAAAGAATTTCTATCGAGTTTACAATGAAACCGATATAACAAAACAGACTTTTATTTTCAGTGAAAGTGATTTCATTTTTAGACACAAACTCTGACTCCCACTCAGTTTTACGTCAAATTTCTTAAATTCTTTTACACGACTATATTCTGCACTNTGGTTCACATCAGGCCTTCTAAGCGTTACTAACGTAGGCTTACGGAAAGGCGGCATTACTTCACAATATATGTAAATTAATACAAGAATTAGTATTAATTAATTAGAATATTCTGTATATTCTGTAATTCAAAACATCATTACTTATGGTTTACAGAGTTTTGTTGACTCTCTCTCTCTCTCCTCCCGTTCCCTTCACTACTCCTTTCGTGTGGTGCGAGTCGTGGGAAGGGATTGACGTCTTCTGGATGAGGAGCACAACAACAGACACTGTATTCCTCACCAAAAATATTATGCAATCGACTCGACGCCTAAGCCATAGGGAAAGTGTACTCACGATTTGAATACACTTTTTGTGTGTAACTTATTCTGTCGTAAGAAGTTTGAAGTTTTCTCTCGAGTGGGTATGGAGTGCATGGAGAGGGAGCTCTGAGAGCACCGGGAGATGCGAGACCACGATTACCCTATGAGATGAATGCCAAACGCATTATTCATGTGTAGTGTCTGTGCTGTACATCCAGTGCCTCTCATTTGTCACATTATGTGCATTATATTTGAAAATAGATTTCTATTCTCTCTTTTTTATTATCATTTCGTATCACTTGTAATAAAAACAGCGATTTTCTCGCATATTTCAGTCGACAGTTGAAACAAGAGTTTGTGATTTCGATCTGAAATGTAAATTTAGTGTTAAAAACAATGCATTATTGCACTGAGTATTGGAATTTTGTCAAAGAGTTGTCGATTCTTTCAAACAATATCATTGAATCTCATATAAGAATTTGAATAAGAATTTATGAAATTCAATTAAATATAATTTTTTAAAACCAATAGCTTAGTTATTAAGAGTATCATGGTATATTTAATACAATATTTGTACAGTACTATAAAATAATGTAAACCAAATATTCCTTGAATTACCGTTTAATACTGTACAGTATTTAATGTTATGTTTTACCAGTACTGCTATAGTGAATTATAAACCACAAATTCAATTCAAACTATACCGTACTTGTAATTTAAATATGAAAACAAACAATTATAATTGTTTTTAAATAAATATTTATTTATTTCATTTCATTAGTATATCAAAGCAAAATATAATTAGACAAACTTATCTTAGTCTGTAAATAATTTATTGAAAACTTGGTTTTTAAGTATACTTATAATATTAATAGACAATAATATCATATTACGGTATGATTTGCATAAAATTGAATACAAATTAATATCAAATGAGTTAATGAATACATAATAAGACAAAATAGATATCCGGATGAGAAAAGCCTCACATATATTGTGCTAACACTTGAGCTTAAAATCTAATGATTTTTTAAATATCAAATGAGAAACGAGTGTATAATGAGAGCGAGAATTGGCAGCAAAACGACTGTACAATTGATTATTGCGGTGTAAATGGCGTTAGACTTCGGCCTCTTTGGCGGACACGCGGATCAGCTCTTTGCCGGAGATCTTCTGCAACGACTTCTTAATCCGAAGGGCAGTCAGTCTGGCGCTCGGGTTCTGAGCCCACGACTCGCGGATTATTTTCTCCAGAATCTCCAAAATCTTCGCAAACCAAACAAAATCACAAATTCATTACAAAATAAGCGCAAAAATGCATTCAAAACATCAATTACTTCATTGGATTGCCATCTGTCAGGAATGGGAGGCCTTTGTTGATCAATGCACACAATCTTCCGCATGTCCTCAAAGCTCGGGTCGTTTGGCACGGATTCGCTGAACGGTATGCTATACTCGTCTACATAGCCGTCAAACTCTGACCTCTGGACCACTTCCCAGAATACCAGCGCTAATGAGTAACTAAAGTGAGACAAAAAACATACAAATTATTACACAAAACACCGCAAAAGCCATTCAATGGTGACTCACATATCAGCCAATCTATAGGACTCAAAGACATCGCTTTTCATAGTCATGTCGAGCACTTCGGGAGCCATATATCGTTTGGTTCCCACCCTATGGTTCTTAATACCGAACTTCACTTCGCCGGTAGTCTGGGTCTGAATGACGGCGAGACCGAAGTCGGCGATACAACACGAGTTGCGGTTTTTCATCAAAATATTCTTCGACTTTATGTCCCGGTGCGCGATCGCCGGCTTACCTAACCGTCCGAATATCTCGGTGTGCAGGTGCAACAGCCCCGACACCATCGACACCAGTATACCCATCATCTGCTTGGGCTCCAGGGTATGGGCGTTCAGGTAGTCATACAGTGATCCCAATTCGTGGTAATTAGTGATGAGCCATAACTGGGTCGACGAGTTGTAGGACGTGATGTCGGAGCCCAGGAATCCCAGTATATTCTCGTGCCGTAAGATAATAGTGCTGTAGATCTCTGTCTCGCGATTCCAAGAGGCCTCGTCTCGGCTGAAGAATATCTTCACCGCCACGTTCTCCAGGTATCGCACACCGCGCCACACCTCCCCGTACCGACCCTTCCCGATGCACTCATACAACTGGATCTGTTTGGCCAGCGTTCGCTGTATGAGCACCGGTAGCCCAGAGCCCGACCCAGACGTCACCGACTGCTCAAACGAGTCGCGCGATAGGCTGTCGTTGCCGTTGAATCTCATGTTATTATCCATGAAATAGGAATCCATTGAACTCTTCTCATTGACGCCGAAGTTCTTGTAAACCGATGAGGAAGTGCCGGAACCCTCTTTTTGGCTGTATTTCCACACTTCCAGCGCTTTATTGCTTTTGAATGAATCCATTCGATTGGGTTTCACTGACAGCAACGGTCGACCGGAACCACTGCCTCCAGAGCTGACAGTGACGTCAATCTTTTCTCTGTCGGACATCAGATGCATGTCTCCTTTGAGTGACATATTCTTCTCGTCAAATATTATGATGTTTTGCTTCTTATCCTTAAACCTGATCCCAAGAAACAGATAATTAATCCACAAATTCAATGACAAAAACCACTCGAAGACACAAACCTTTTATAGCGTTTATAAGCGATGAATAAAATCCAAAATATAATAATGAAAACCAATAACGAAGTGATGAGTGACACCAAGAGGTGAGTCGAGTCTATGGACAGGAATTCGCTGTCATTGTCTGCCATAAGAGATCACAAAATAAGATAATTTTTGCCACAAAACACATGCAATCAATAGGTTTACCACTGGTTTTATTGTCGGGAATATTGAAGTAATTCGGATGTAATTCAAGATTACAGAAGTCATGCGAATTACAGCACTGTATCGACTTTGGCACGTCGTGTGGTACCAGATGTCCCTTACACTGGACAGGGAGGTGATGGACAGGCGTGTCGATGGACACAACACACAGACAATCAATTAGATAAATACTTCATAACAGCTGTAATAATCACACGCAGTGTTGTCACCACTGGATGTGATGGTCAGTGGTATATACCTGAAGAATGTGTCCGTCCTCTGGAGGCAGACATCCGTACGTCTTCTCCCACTCCAAGTGTTTGGTGTCTCTGTTGAAGACCTGTTCCATAGCCGCGAAACACATGCCGTGAGGCTTCAGATGACACGTCCCGTTGGGCTCATTGTCCGGACAGTGACCCAAACACTGACAGATAATCGCTGTCATCACACATATGGGAACAAATGAGGTGATCAATGGATTGGCCAACAGTGGTGTTGATGACTACAAACCCATTGTTGATATCTCGCGGTTGTCGTCACTTCAATGTCAGTGTCCAACACATCCAACGCGTCCGCCACTCAATCCATGACCGGATGTGACGGCAGACGAGATAAACGTGTGGTGACTGTCGCTTGAGATGGACTTCGAGACCTGATTTGTGGCAAATTGTCTGCAGTTGTCTTCACTTCACAAACAAATCGCCATTTTTTGAGACAAATATTTTTGAGACAAACACTGAATTGAAGGACAAAAACAAATATTTTAAACATTTTGGGCATAAATTACGGCCCAATGGGGGCACTGTTTGGCTGTCAATACATGCCATAGGATTTGCATTGTGTTCAATGAGAACCCTATAAATGCATTTAGCATTCAATTCAATGCCATTATTGATGGCATGCTATCATTGGCTGCGAAAATAACTTAAGCGCGAAGTCTAGCGGTGTTTGCGTTGACTTTCATTCATGAAATTGTTTTAAAGTTTTTTGAATGAGTTTTTAAAGCGATTTAATGGGTTTGTGTTACCGTTTTAATTGTGTTTTACGTGCGATTTAATTGTAATTTAATTTATGGCAAGAGTTATAAGTTTGAAAAAGTTTTTTAATACAAACTTTTTAATGGTTTTTAATGACAGACACTATAGGACTGTAACACAACAGTCATCAGTACTGCAGTGACTTCTGTTGCTAACACACTTAACAAATGTGCTAAACTCAGGTTTCAAACCAGAGTTAATAGCGGCGTTAATAGTGTAATAGAGTCCAGAACTCTAGGCGACAAAGAGTACTTTGTGTCCTCAGTTTGTACTCAAAGACATATCACATGTCTATCTCATATCAACACTACTTTTGCCACATTTTTGTGTAGTTTTTCGCATTTGATTTGTAGTTTTGTTTTGCATTTAATTTAATTATAATTTAGTTTTTGAAACAACTTTTCAAAAGTTGTCTAAAAGTTTGCGTCAATTGTCTACTCAACCAAAATAACTGACCTCAAGATCTGGGCCTAAGATAACTGATCCCAAATAGTGATGTATCGATGCGTGCATTCCGTGTCCACCAAATGGCAACCGATCGGTGATTATTGTCATCACTGGAAGAATGTCTTAAACACGACTCGACGCCAGTGTCTGTCATCGCAGCCGAAGATCACGACTCACTACTCAGTGGTTCCCAGAGATACAGACAAACGATGGAAAGACATACCAATGGAGAGAGTGGTCGACGAGACGGACGTAAGACATCTGCAGACAATTATCGCTACATTATATCTCTTAACCATAACTGTGTCACCGATGGACAGGTGGTTATCATAGGCGGAGGTCCGGCGGGTCTGTCGGCCGCCATCCGACTCAAGCAATTGGCGAACAAA